TATATTGTTCTTATAATAAGTTATTCTTAAAAAATTTAAGATTCAGTTAAAAAATGCCTACCTCATGTGTACAGTGTTTTCAGTCAGTTTCAACATTCTACACCCGTGGGTGGTGGTGGGGTAGACCTGAGAGAACAATTGAGCCCACTTCCGTATGAGGACAACCTGAGTTGCTCCACCGAGCATGCAGGTTGGGAGGACAAGCAAAAGATAGGATAATGTATAGGTCTTTAATAACTCTCTGCTTGGCCTACTTTTGTTTACAGAGAACTTTCACTAGCATCTTACTTGATTCTCACAACAGTGCTATCAGACACCGGAGTTCAAATCGGGAAACCAAAGTTCAAAGACATTTGTCTGTCCTTGCCCAAGCTCTGTAAGTACAGATGCTGAGATTACAGTTTGCTTCTCTGCTTCTGCCTCAGGACTCCCCTGCCTCTTATACTGGACTCTTTTCCATAAAACTTTCTCTGGGAGCCAAGTATTTACGCAGTGAATTTTTGATACCTAAAAAGGGACATGGTATAAAATTGGAGTCATATCCTGTGCTTTTGGCTAAGCTAATTAGTAAGTGTTCGTCATTACAAACCCCTACTTTTATTTAGTATCCTATCTCAGGAAAGGAAGGATTGTTTCTGTATGAATTAAGGCATTCTTTCTTATTATTTTCTGTTTTCACATCTAGATGCTTGAATACCAAGCTTTGAATTTTGCTTCCTTTTAAAGCAGTTGTCCGGATTAAATCATCTTGGTGTTTGTGTCTGCTTTTTTACTCTTCCATGAATTTTTTGGCAGCTGTGGAAACAAAAGACCTATTCCGTACTACCTCGACACACCCCACATCATCTGTGAACATGAAAAAGAAAAAAGATGATTTTATTTCTTTGGTCAAATCTTGATAGCAGTGTCTGAGTGCTCTCGGCTAAATTAGGTGGAAAAAAATCTAGTCATTTTTAAAGCATTGTGACTTTCTCTAGATTCTAAACAAGCAATCAGCGAATTTTCTCTGGACATTCTGGTGGTAAATAATAGGCTTCACAGGCTGCGTGACCTTTTTGACAGCTACTCAGCTCTACCGGTGTGATTCAAAGGCAGCCGTAGGTGATATATAAACAAATGGACGGGCTGCAGGCCAGTAGAACTAGTCACAAAAACAGTGAGCAGGTTTGGCCTCCAGACAAGAATTTGCTGACCCTTGTTTTTTATTCTTTCAGCTTTATCTGCCTGGAATCTAATTCTCTTAACAAAGTGATTTCTGACAAACCAAATGTTTCAGAGTCTCCTTCTGTCACCAAATTGCTACTGGGTTATTTCTGCAACAGTAAAGTCTGGTATTTGCAAAAATAGTGATGATCCATTGCACTCTAAGCTCACGAAAGGTCAGAAGGAGCCTAATATTATTTGGTCACCTGTTAATCTTTTTCTCCCTGAGATTAGATTTGCTGCAAGCTATAACCTGACTTGGTCTGGCACATAGCAACCCCTAACTTCCTCCTGTGTTTAAACCTCTTCACAATTATAAAAGTACTCAAGGTCAGAAACTGTTTAGTCAGTATTTTATTTCTACAGGCCATCAGAACTACAGATCTGAAAATTATTTTTACTTCTACCAATTAATTCTTTCGAGTGAAAAATATCTGATACAGATGAAAACAACACTGAGATTCCAGCTCACTCCAGAAAGAATGGTTGTTATCAAGAAATCAACCAATAGCAAATGCTGGTGAGGTTGTGGGGAAAAAGGAACCCTTCTCTGTTGGTGGGCCTAGTGCAATCACTGTGGAAATCAGTGTGGAGATTCCTCAGAAAACTAAAACTAGAGGTTCCATTTGACCCAGCTATCCCCCTTCTTGGTATCTTCCAAGAAAGAATTAAAAGCCTCATACCACAGTGATACATGCACACCTATGTTTACAGCAGCACAATTTATGATCGCTAAATCTTGGAAACAACCCAAGTGCCCATCAACTGATAAATGGACAAAGAAGATGTGGTTTTTAAATACAGTGGAGTACTACTCTGTCATAAAGAAGGATAAACTTGATACATTTCTAGGTAAATAGATGCACCTGGAGACCAGACTCTTAAGTGAAATAAATTGGACACATATGTTTAAATATTGCATTGTTTCTCTGGTGTGAGAACCCAAGAGGATAAATAAAGACCAAAATGTATTATAGATATTGAGAAATAGGAAGAAAATGTTCAAATGGGAAGGGGAACACAGGAGGGGGTAGGGAGAAAGGAAGGAAGGGAAAAGAAAAAAAAAGTAGAAAGAAAAAATGGAAACAAAGCTTTTGTAAATGAGGGGAAGAGGGGTTGAAGGGAGGGGGAGATTGTGGAAAGAAGAATTAAGATGTAACAAGTACAGGTACAAGTTCCCTATGATGAGTGTAATCACGTATATCTAAAATGTACCAATAAAATTAATTTTAAAAAGAGAAAATATCTGATGACTGAGTTAAAATAGACCTAATTTTATGATCTTGTAGTCACTTCCTCATGTTATGTTTCAGTTTCCTGTGGGCGCTTTGGGAATTGTAACAGCTTTTTGTATTAAAGAGCCTGGGATGGAAGGCAACGTGGGAGGGATTGCTGTCTTTCATTATGAATTTGGAAAATAAAATTTTTCAATGCAAGGAAAGTTTCTAGTAGTCTTAACAAAATATTTTGAAGATGGATATTTAAAAACATCTGTTGTTTTGTCTGCTGAACGATATATAGGATTACATTTTTATGTGAGAGATCTTAAGAAGCTGTAAGAACATTTTCTCACTGTCACCTGTACTTATAATTTTTTAATTACCTTTTTTCTGATATAAAAGTAATATAGTTTTATAGAAGAAAATTTGAGAAATTTAGAAAACCATAAATAAGAAAAATAAAATCATTCACAATCACTCCCTAAGGGTAAGTATTGCTAACGTTTTAATGACTATATTTTTGGCATCTCTCTGGACAAATGTAGATTGGCTATAAAATTTTCATATTCAGGAGATGATAACAAAATATTTTTGTAAGAACATTTTACTGAAGAATACAGAATGGATATGGTTTTGAGTTGATAAATAAGGATCACCACTAATTCTAATGCCATGACATTCTACAGTTGTAGAGGAACTTCCTGTAACCCACATGGATAGTTTCCTAAGGGAGAACGTTAAGTGCTTTGTACTTTCATTATTATAGAGAATGCTAAGGTAAACATTCTTGTATGTTTCTTGTTGCCCTGCCAGAGCATCTCTTCAAGATAAATTCCTAGAATTGATATTAGCAGAACTATATGTGTGTATGTACTATATTTGCATAATTTTGATGCAGAGAAGTTTGTGCCCACACTATATTCCCTTAACAATTAGTGAGAGTACTTTGTATCCTTACGATCCTGGAAATTTTCTGTAATTTCTCAAAGATCAGGTTTTAGCCTCTAAGCATCTTTTATGGTCATTTTGTGTTTTGTGGTTTTTAAACCAACATCTTTGTAGCACTCACTATGTGTCAGAGACTGTTGGGGCTTTTATGAATACTATTAATTTGATCTTCATAATTACCCAGTAAAGTGGACACTGTTACCATCCCTAACTTATGGATGGAGACACTGTTGCATGACTCGAAGGCTATAGACCTGGTGATGCAGAGCTAGTACTTGATCTGTCTGGTGATTCTACACCCCATTCTCATGACCACTGGGCCCTGCTGCCTCTTGGAGGAAATGCTTAGCTGTCAAGGAAATTAGCTGGACACCCGGGCCAGAGAGTCAAATCCTAACTACCAGCCACCTATACTTTCAATATTTTTATTTTAATTATTAAATAATCTCTTTGATTTTTTTAGGGTCTATCATAGTCAAAAGAAATCACAAGAAGCTCTGCCCCACTACCAAGAGGCATTGGAATATGTGGAGATCAGCAAAGGTGAAGAAAGTCCCGAGTATGTCTCCATCCTGAGAGAATTAGCAGGTGCAGAGCAAGCCCTGGGGTTCCACAACACAGCCATCAACCATTTCTTACAGGTGAGGGGCAGCTACCTGTCAGCACAGCTTGGCTGGACCCAATGCTTGTCATAAACATAAGTGGCACAGAAGTCAGACAGTGCCTAGCTTGCCATTTGCTCTGGGTCAGCAGAACACCCGGCCTAGCGCCAGTGTGCAGTAAAGATTTTCTTACCAGATGCCCAGGCAGGTGAGTGCTGGATATTGGTCCCCTGTGACCAGTTGTGCATTCTCCAAACAGTCAGGCTCCTTACAGGTGGGGTTTCACACATTGTGTGCATTATTTACCAGGTGAAGTTTCCTTATCTTTTAGTATTTATTTATTTAAAGCTCGTGTTACCAAACTGATCTGGATTCTTTTGAAACTGCACTCTGAAGTCTTTACCTGAAACCACTTAGTTACATCTGTTAGCTACTATTCTCTTTTATCACTGTAAGATTCCTGAGCTCAATTTCATCTTCTGTAGGAAATCTCAGGGGGGTTTTTGGTTTTTGGGTTTTTTTGGGGGGGGGGTTGTTTTTTAGGTCTTCAGCTGATTAGATGAGTTCCATTGTTTTGATTGAGGATAATCTCCTTTACTCAAATATAATTGATACAAATATTGATCACATCTACAAAACATAGTCATGGTAACATCTAGACTGATGTTTGACTGAACAACTGGGCATCATCATAACCTAATCAAGTTGACAGAGAAAATTAACCATCATAGAGAATTTGATGTCTTTGTTTCATTTCATCTGCTAAAAGCACTTTTTTATTTTTAGAGAATTTAAAATATAGCCTAATCCATTCCTGTTATTTCAAATGAGATATAATGACATGGTACTGAGAATATGTTATTGCTATATCTTTTAAAATTTGTCCGGCAATTTATACTCCCACTCACAGTGTGTTGGAGAGCTCCTTTCTCTCACTGTATCTGGATGGTGTCTTAGTCATTATTTCCACTCTGTACCATGTTATTTCCAGCTTATACATCAGAGAGACAGGAATTATAAAGGTCGAGTGTTATGCCCAGGAGTAACTAGCCTCGGTGTAACTAGGGATAGCCTAGATTCAGACCCATTCTAAATGATGTGTAGAGGATGGATTGGGGAGGTTGTGCCAAGACTGGAAGTGGAGAGATCAACAAGGAGGCTACTGGTGTATCAGAAGCAGAAATGATGGGGCCTGGAAATAGAATGAAGATCCTGGGAATGAAGAGAAGTGGGGGAATTGGAGAAAGATTCGGGAGGCAGAACTGACAGGGTGTGGAGATGAACTGGACACGGATGGGGAAAGGAAAGAAAGAACCAACGGTGACCCCCAGGTTCCTGGTCTAGACAGCCCAGTGGGTGTTGTGGCACTTACGGAGGAGGAATAGGGAGGACTGGGTGAGATGCACAGATTTTGAGCTCTGTTGTCGATGGTGAGTCTGAGATGCTCCTGGGTACAAGGAGTGGCAGCAAGGCAGTTAGGTCATCAGGAACAGAGCTTGGGAAGCCCTTGGAGATCACAGTGATGCCTTGGGAGAGGATGAGATTGTCTAGGTGGGGGAGGAGGGGGGAGGAAGAAGACTTCTGACTTTTGGCAGAATCTTGAGCAACTTCAGTACTCATGGCTAAGTAAAGAAGAATAACCTGGCCAAAAAAAAGAAAAAGAGAAGTATTTGTGAGGAAAAATAAAAGTGAAAGAGATGCCTCCCCATGTCACTCCTTTTGATACCATTTTTATTTTTAATATGGAACACTTCATGAATTAGCACAGGGACCGTGCTAATCTTCTCTGTATCGTTCCAATTTCAGTATATGTGCTGCCGAAGCGAGCACCTTTTGATACCTTTTACCATTATGGACACGTGGATTTGTTGTTGGGGTAAATAACTTACTACTTGAAAAGTGATTAGCACAGCGCCTGGTACATAGTGCTCCATATGGATTTTTAAGAATTTCTCTCTTTCCAACCTTTCTTTTTCTTTCATTGATCAGTGGGCCAGTGATGAGGACAGAAAGATTATGTAGTGAAGGAGATGTGAGGAAGCAAAAATAATAAATGCAGAAATCAGTTTCAGAAAGTGCGAAGAGGTGGAGAAGACCAGCCCGGCAAGAGGCCAGAGCTCATGGAAGGATCTGAAAGGAACCTAAAAATGGACCATTGTGTGTCAGTCGGATAAGGTGTTGAAAGCTCTGTTAGGAAAAGTGTGCTTCCTCCTGAGTGCAGGTGAAGGGCTTCAGGCAGGGAGATTGACATCATCTGGAGGGGTTGCCCTGTGGTCTCAAAAGTGCATTGTGCGATGGAGAAGTAGCGGGAAGTAAGTCAGAGAGGATCCCAGCAGTCTGAGAGGGGGGTGGTACTGGCCTGGATTCAGGTGGCTTCAGTGAGAATAGAGAGGTGTGGACAGATTGAGAGATATGTAGGGAGTACAAATGACCAGCTGGGGGTCACAGGACAGAGGTAGGTGACTAAAGGGCTGGAGGAGTCCAGGTTTATACCAGGGCTGTGTCTCAGGCCACTGTGAGTGGCTCATGGCACCTTTTACTGAGTTTGGGGACACTGGCAGGTTTACAGCTTTTTGTGTCAATACTGCTAAATATTCTTATCCAAAAATGTTGCTGGAGTAAATTTCTACAAGTTGCTGGGAGGAGGGATATGAGTATTTCTTAATTCTTAATTCATTTTGACCTTCTGCCAAAGAGTTGTTTTGGTTATCTTGGCATTAGAATGGTGTCTTGTTACAGTGGATGAACCCATAGTGACATGTTGCTGTCACCCATCTCCATCAAGGTTCATTCTGATGTTGTACATTTTACGAATTTTGACAAAGGTAGGACATGTGTCTGCCATTATAGTATCTACCTGCAAAGTCTTGGCGCTGCCTTTTTTTCTTCCAGTTTCTAAATGTCAAAGAAAGACATTAAGTGATAATACGCTTGGTGTCATTCAGCAAGAGCTGTTATCCCTGAAAGAATTCCCTGGAATGAAAGGTGGCTTGTAAGACCAACATCAACAGAATGCATTCAAATACTGTATTGGAGCCTGGTTCAGAGAAGCATTCCCCAAACTATGTAGAACACTAGCACATTAACAAAATTCATAAGTCTATCTGGAAAAGGTGTTTAAAGCTAAATGATATCAAGATATATTAAGTTAAAATTAAATAATTACATGTGGTTGTATGGTGCATTAAACAGGCCAATGTGGATTTTGAATTGAGAGAGAGATCCTGTGAGACAGCAGTGTCACCCAGACCACAGTTTAGCAAACACTGGATTAGACAAAGCAATGTAAATGTCTAAAATCAGGAATCAGCAAAAGGATTCACCTATAAATGATCTTCTGAAAGATCAGGATTTTTCACTCTTAGGATTCTTTAGCTCTACATGAATGGGAAATGAGCTAAGTAATACCTGTTAATTGTGAGGCTCAGATTTGCCATTTTAAAATATTTTACTTCATGTGTTTTCCTTATTTACAAGACACATTTAAAGATTATTTATATCTTAATCATGTGATAGCATGTTGCATAGATCACGTCCCTTTATCCCTGAACACTTTAGTGTATGTTTTATAAAAATAAGGTCATTATATAGTTATGAGATTTAGGAAATTTAACATTGGTTCCTGTCCTATTCCATTTTGTTGGTTATCCCAATTCTGTCCTTTACGACAATGTTTTTCTTTCCACTCCAAGACCTTGTCCAGGATCGAGTGCTGTGCTTAGTTGTCATGAGCCTGGTTTCCTTCAGTTTATCTCCCAGTCTCTGTCTTTCATTAGTTTGAAACTTTTGAAGAATCCAGGCCAGCTGTTTTGTACACTGTTCCTCATTTGGATTCTGTCTGATGTTTTCTCATGACTAGATTTGGTGATGTGTGCCCCGAAAGGAAGAATACAAAAGGATTTCATATCTTCTTGGGGGGTGGGTATTGCTAATCACCCATTCGTGGTGATATACAGTTTCTTCCTATATACAGTAGTAACTATTTCCTCTTATTCTATAGAATATGTATTCTATAGAGAGACATTTTAAGACCATATAAATATTGTGCTTATCAAAAATTTCCCTCTAGGTTTAGCATATGTTGATGACCCTTCCTTCCCTCCCTCTTTCTCTCTCTCTCTCTTTCTTTCTTTCTTTCTTTCTTTCTTTCTTTCTTTCTTTCTTTCTTTCTCTTTTAGAGACAGGGTCTTGCTATGTAGTTCAGGCTGACCTTGAATTCACTATGTAGACTAGGCTGGCCTTGAACTCATAGCAATCCTCCTGCCTCTGCCTCCTAAGTGCTAGGATTACAGGAGTGCACCACCACACCCATTTTAGATGACTCTTTGTTGAAACAGTCTTAACTGTGATAATTGTAAAATAATGGTTTTTCATTCTACCATTTCATCAACATTTATAAGCTGACATTCTGCTGTTAAGAATAGTGTCTCTTTCTCTACACCAAGTCATTGATTTGTGTGTTTGCTTTCTTTTCACTTAATATTATATTTGTAATTCACTTTATAATAGTTCATAGAAATCTTCCTCATTTATTTGTACAGATGAACAATAATATAGTTTACACGTGTATTTTGGATTTTTTCAAGTAATTTCCTGCATTTGGACATTTACCAGTACCATGCTGTTTTTATCACAGTGGCTTTGTAGTATAATTTCAAGTTGGTGATTGTGATATCCCCATTTGGACATTTAGCTAGGTCAAAAATTTGCAATTGTTTTCATATTATTGTGTTGCATCTTCTGAGTTAATTGCTGGACATGGGATTACTAAGTCAAATGGAGTATGCTTTGTAGTTTTGTCTCATCACAAAACTCAAGGATATTTTAATCTTGCTGCTAATTGCACTACGTAGTCAAATTTCCTTTTCATTTGGGCTTGTTCCAAGTGCATTTCCATGAGCAGTGTGTGAAAATGCTGGTTTCACACAACCTGTTCCAACAAAGTATATTGTCAAGCTTTTGAGTTAGTTCTGATCTGATGGGTAAAAAATGACATCTTGGTATAGTTTTAATTTGCATTTCTATTTTTAAAAATGGAG